AAATTTCCGGAATCATGTTCATCAGGAGTTTTTTCATAAATTGAATTATTTCATTCTGTGAATCTGTTTTCTATTGTGGAAATTGGTGATGAGTTCATTATATGTTTATTTACTACAAAATAAATGCAAGTAAGTCCAATCTCCTTGTGTTTGGTACTAATCGAAACTCGGTGGAGAGACATATTGAACTGGTTGTAAGTAAAGTTATTATTCCTAAAAAACATTACGAAACTGCATTCAAAAGCCTCCTCCTATAATAATAATTTTTTTTAAAACAAAAGACAAGCCCTACACTTCATCAGTTCGGACTTCCATTGTCTAATATAATATTTGATTTGAAATTCCTGAAAAAATATTCAAAAGATTAACCTTGGCTACTCCATCACTCTGGAGTAACCATTCCGTTGAAGGTCGTTTTAAAGACTTTTCTTTGTATTACAGAGCCTGAAGGCACGGTCTAGTAGAGTCTTGATGATTCTTCTCTTAGTCGATTGATGGTGGTTGGATTTCTGGTTCAGATACTGTCCTGTTTGAGTGGGTTTTCGATATACAGATGTTTCCCATTTAGTGTCGGTCCTCTTCACCAATACGTTTAAGAACGGCAATTCGTTATGGACTTCCTTTTCCATTGTGAAAGAGATGGAAGGACTTACGTTGTTGATGTGCTTCAGAAAAATGTCTAGTTCTGCATTCCCATGGTTCCATATTATGAAGGTGTCATCTACGTATCTCAACCAGACTCGGAGCTTCTTGCGGGCTTCTTCAATGGCCAGAGTTTCCAACCACTCCATATATACAGGGTGATTCAAAAGTACTTTGACAAACTTCAGGAGGTGATTCCTCACAATATTCTAATATGAATTGTCCAAATAAATAAATGTCCGGAAACACTTCGTTTCCAAGATACAGGATGTTGAAGTTTTATTTTTATTTTGGTTTTTTTTCAAATAACTTTTGAAATATTGAACTTATTTAAACGAAACTTGGTAATAGGAGGTTTATGAGGTGTCGAATTCGAACCTGATGTTCTTATTGCTCTTACTCGTAGGGGGCGCCACCTACACGTCTTTTTCTTTTTTAAAGATTCATATCTTGGAAACGAAGCGTTTCCGGACATTTATTTATTTGGACAATTCATATTAGAATATTGTGAGGAATCACCTCCTGAAGTTTGTCAAAGTACTTT